AGGGCCCCACACCTAGGAGGAGGGGCAGGCGGCCATGGTGGGCTCTTTCCTGCTGTCTCCCAGCCACAGGCCCCGCTACTGTTTCTAACCAGCCAGGTGTAAGCAGGAAGAAAGGAGAGAAGAGGGCAGGAAAAGTCTGCCTTGAGAGACACTGATGTAAGGTGGTTTCATACTGTGTGGGTCTCGCTACATTAAACCAGATTCGTTTTCTTGGGGACCCTTTACTGGATTCTTCTGAGACTTCCCTGCAGGACCAAGTGCAAGAAGGGGGAGAGGCCCTCCTTCCTCTGCTGCCTGCCACATCTCCTCACCCTTGAAGGCTGCCGTCTTGGGTGGGGCTCTCAGATGCGTCCAGGACAATGTGCCTGTGGCAGGTTGCACTCGGCTGGCCAGGATGGCTCCACCGTTAGGGTACCAAAGACGCGCGTGGTGGCTCCCCAGTCCTGACTCAGGCAATTTAACATTCTGCTAAATACATTAAACACATACATTTCTTTCCATCAGCTGTAGCCCTCAATAGAAAGTTTCCTTGTCCCGTTCTACAGACAGGGGGTCCTTTAGAGCATCCCACATCTCCAAGTAACAATGACAGGGTTTGAAGCCCTGTCTCTACAGTCAGGGCCCACAGTTCTCCATGAGTCCTTGCTGCTGGGCTCTAAGGGGCAAAGGACCAGCCCTGGGACAAGCCCACACACCTCTCTGTGGTTCTTCATTTTGTATGACCTCCGAGAGCCCTTTGCATTCTAAAACTGTAGTGAAATTTCTGAGTTGAGGTTTCCTGGAACAGATGACAGAGACCTCTGCAGAGGCCATGTCCTCCTGTGTGGGGGGCAGCCCTTCACTCCCCACTTCCTGCTCTGCCACCCTAGTCTCACATGGGCGTGCACCTTGAGCAAGTGTGGGAGAGAGAAAGAAATGCCATTCAAATGGTGCTGGCATTCTGTTCCCTCCATGAGGACGTGCCCTGGACCGAGCACGAAACTGAAGGCATGAATTTGCATTCTCTTCAAAGAGGCTCATTTCCCACGTGCCTCTCCTGAGGAGAGGATCATGCCACGCTGAGCATGACACCGGTGTCTCAGGGAAGGAACCTTCTAGATAATGTGACTCCTAGTTTAAGTCCCCTATCTCATCTGGAGAAAAGCTCCAACTGTGGTGGACCTAGTGACCTACTGTGGGTCTCCACGACAGCACCCATCCAAGGGGTTTACAGGGATAATTGGCCCTGTGCATTTGCAGTGTCCCCTAACGCCCTTGCCTTGGCGCTGCAGACAGGCCTCCAGTGCCTTATAGCTCACAGCACCCAGCATCTCTCTGCTGGTCTCCTGAGAAGCTCACAGCCACCCTGTGGAGTAAACACACCAGTGTTATTACCCCCTTTTTACAGATGGGGAAACGGAGGCTCAGAGATGAGAAATTCCATGTCTAATCAAAACCAGGAGTGGAACTTCACTTTCCCATTCCAAGTCTAATACTCGGAGTTCTCTCTTTTCCTTGATGGTGTTCACACAAGACTCGTGAGTGTTTCTCTGCCCTGCCCTATTTCCCTCACCGTTCAAATCCCATTCCCAGAACCACCTCCCTGGCCCCTCAGCCAGGCCCCAGTGGAGAATGAGGTGGAGCCTTGAACACAGGAAGAGTGGGCATCCTCTGTAATTCCTTCAGTAGGTATTAGCCACACCCACCCTGCCAGTCCACTGAAGTGTGCCCCTGTCCCATCCTGATGAACTGAGGTTGTGTGTCCACATAACAGAGATTTGTTCCCTTCATTTCATCAGCCTGGGTCTGCATACCCAGGCCCGGGGTAAAGCATATTTATTCCCTGATTGCCCGTAAGGACCCACTAGGTTCCACAGGAGATTAACAAAGCTAACATTTATTGAACACGTACTGTGTGCCAGAATTCATTCTGAGGTTCTTGCATATTTTAACTCATTTAACCTCACAACCACCATATGAGGCCCATACATTTATGACCCCTTTTTTAAAGATGAGGAAACTGAGGCAGACTGTTGGGAGCCGGGGCTATGTCCCTTCCCCCATGTCTGAACGCAGCATGGGAAAGCACAAGCTTGAGAGCAACCGGTGCAGTCCTTGGAAGTTATCTGCTCACAAAAACATATCTTGTCCTTGAAGATGAGCCAAGACTCCTCACTCTGAAAATAGGGAGACCTTGAGGATGTGTGAAAACACCTCCCCGCCAGCGCCACCTAAGGTCCAATTATCTCCTGACCCACCCCTTACTTGCTACTTGTATAAATTGAGCCTGTAAACAATAAACTTCGCCAGCTTGATCAGACATCCTGTCTTGCTGGTCATTCTTTGTGTCTCTTGCTTGTCTCATTTCTGCAGGCGTCTCCGGCACACTCCACGTTCGTCCCGCGGGTCGGGACAGCAGACAGCAGTTAAAGAACTTTTCCCAAGGTCACACAGCTAGGAAGTGATGAGACGAAATTTTCACTTTGGGTGGTTAAATTCCAGAGCCTGTGTGCTCAGCTCCACTGTGGACAGACTGAACCTCAAAGCACCTGGAGCCCAGACGGCTTCCGGGATGAAGAGCACGAGGCCGAGAAAAGGACTTGGCTTAGATGGAGTCCCAAGAGCAGGGCCCGGGTCTGGTTTCTTGAGCAGGTGGACTATAGTGGTGATGCGTCCAGGGGGAACCTGTGAGGGAGGGGCCAGCAAGAGGACCACCTCAGGCCATCTTCCAGCTTCAGTGTGACCTCTCTGGGGGTCTGAGGAGGCAAAGCTCCAAGCTAGAGGTGCCCTGACCCCAAGCGAGGGAGCTGGTTCCCTACCCTCACCCCAGCGGTCGTTCCTGACGGGCTAGTCCAGGGAACTGAAAAGTGTGTGCAGGTAGCCCCAGGACACTGCTCCAAAGGACGCAGTGCTGACCGGGAAGGGACAAGCTGGGGAACCGGGGGGCACACAAAGGTGGTCAAAAAAAGAAATCCAAGGGAATCTGGGGGAGTGCCGGCCGCCACCCCTGAAATAGGAAGGAGGCATTTGCAATTCAGTTTAAGCCTGTAGCTCCAGGCCGGCCGAGGAGGTTCCCAGCTCTAGGCAAGGTTACTACAGATGTAGCGAGACCCAGTAACAGCAACGGAACATTGTGGATAAAAAGGGGCTCATACCGTGCTTTATTCTCACTGCAGTAGTTTTGAGGCCCTAGACACCCCTCCACCTCTGTCCCCGCCCCTGGCTCAGCCTCTGCTCCCCTCTGCCCTTAGCACGGGGCAGAACTCTTCTTACAGTAATACGGGCAGTAATGGCCTGTTGCCAACAGGTATGCGACCATGAGCCCGCGCAGTGGGCTAAGTATTACCTCACGGCATGTGCACAGTGGGTATCAGGTGAGGATCCTGGCCGTGGAACTTCCGTTTCCCTACAAAGCCTCGGCAAGTCCCCAGTGAGCATTGTCTTCTGACATTGGTCGGAGCCCAGGAAACAATTCTTGTCAGAGGGCAGTTGGGAGAACCATTTCTGCAGCACCCCCTTCCCGTGAACACAAACTGGGGCTCAGAGAGCCCGAGCCGTGGGCACTGAGTGCACACGACCGACCCCAGCTCCGCGACCCCGCCTGCTGTCCGCGGTTTTTGGGGGCCAGCCTCTCCCACCAGCCCGCTCTGGTTGCGGGCAGGCCCGCAGCATTCCCAGCACTGCGCTCCTTTGCTTTTCCCCGTTATTTTACCTTAGCTCATGTTTTTCTTCTTAATCATGAAATATCCCCAACATATGTAGAGAGGTACCCCACACCCACAATTGTCAGTCTTAATGTTATTTCCTGCAGACATTTTCTTTTTTTTAATGTGAAATCAAAGACTTATATTGAAAGCCCATTCACTCTCTATTCTGATTCCATTCCCTCCCCCAGAGGCCACCACCATTCTGTATTTGGCACTTGGCATTCTCACCAATGTTGTTCCAATTTTACTATATATGTATACAAGCCCTTTACAGGATTATTTTGCATAATTTTAAGCTTTACATTAAATTATATTATGCTGTACATTATTCAGTGTTCTCCAGGGAAACAGAACCAATAGGATGTTTAGACAAGGGTGGTGGGGGGATGGGGATTTATTTTAAGGAATTGGCTCCCAGGGTCAAGGGGCTGGAAGTCCAGGACGGAGGTGTCAGCCAGGTGGAGACCCAGGAAGAGCCATTGCCCCATTTAAATCCAAAGACCTTCTACTGGCAGAATCCTCCTTCCTCTTTCCTGTCTTCTATGAAGGCTTGAAACTGATTGCTTTGTGACAGTATGGAATGAGGCTCAATCACCTTATGGAAGACAATCCATTCTACTCAAAGTCCATTAATTTAAATGTTAATTTCATCCAAAAGCACCCTCACAGAAACATCTAGAATAATGTTTCACTAAATATGTGGGCACCATGGCTCAGCTTAGGTGACACCTAAAATCGACCATCACATACTATTTCCTTCTGCAACTTGCTTTCTTCAGTCCTTATTTGTTTTAGAGATTTCTCCATGTTGCTATATATAGCGTTTCATTGTGTATATGCCATAGGTTATGAATTTTTCTGTTGATGGATGTAGGTTGCTTCCAATTTTCTCTATCAAAAACAGGAGAGGGCATAAACCTGCTCAGGTCACATGGGAGAGTTTCTGTATAGGTCAGAGGTAGGCAAATACAGGCAGGCCCCCTATTTGTGAATAAAGCTTGACTGGAATGCAGTCACACCCATGCGCATCCTAATCACATACTGCTGCTCTCATCCTACAAGGGCAGGGTGGTGTAGTTGCCACCAAACTGTCAGCCCACAAAGCCTAAAATACTTCCTGTCTGGCCCCATACAGAAAAAGTTGCTGACCTGCTCTAGGTCAGTACCTAGGAGTGGAATTGACTGTGGGCCACATCAGCATTTATGCAGCATTGGAAAATCACTCCCCACAGTGGCTACACACATCCACCCTCCCAGAACAGCGCATGAAGGGTGTGAGAGCTCTCTTTCTTCATATGCTCCATCCCAAAGGTTTGCCAGCTCACTGCTTATGAATTCTCACTGTTACTCCCCGTTGGTTCTTCAATCATGTATCATTTATTCATTTAACAAACATCTGTTAAGGGATTACTGTGTGCCTGGTACTATCATGTTAAAGCTGCCCCATTTTACAGGAGAAGAAATGGAGCTACTTAATGTTAGAGGCATGGTCCAAGCAGGGTGGTAAGGCAAGATGGTTGCATGTGGCTTTTGCAGGCCCTCTCTGGAGAAGCTAGCCCTGTGAAAGACACTCGAACAGCTGACAGTATTTTGCAGGCCTGAGGGTGCGCAGCTGAGAAATACAACAATTTGGCAGTCAGCGTATAACTTCTGACAGTCAGGGGCACCTACACCGTAATTCTTAGCAGAGAGGGTCTATATTTTATACAACAATCCGTAGTTTTATAATTATACTGGTTTTTGGTCTTCCCCTTTGACCTCAGAATATAAAACATCTGTGATTATGAGCGAGAGAGTGTGTGACAAAGAAATTGTCCATAATTGATACAGTGAGAAATAGAGCTTTATGACTCAAAGCTACCAAGATAGCCAATAAATGAAGGGAAAGGGAGGTGGAGAGTGAGTGAGCTAAATCTTCATTTATTGGTTGGGAAGTCAACAAATAATGTCTGTGGCTGATAACCCAAGCAATCAAGAAATTTGTACAAATATGGGACAAGCTCTGGACAAGAGAAAAGCTGAAGCCGACGGGGAACAGGACACAGGAAGAGGAGGAGCAGGGAAACCTCGACTGATGAGGTGGGGAGACGGGGTGTCATCATTCTCGTCCCTCCCTAACTCTATGTATAGTTTTATATAGTTGAAATTTCCCATAGTAAAACCTACTTTTTTTTTTTAATGGCAAAAATGAGGTTGGGCTGTGAAGTCAGACAGGTACAGATTAAATTCAGCTGCGCCCCTCTGGGGGCCCTAAGTACTGTTGCCTTCATCTTTTCTAAAATTTTTTTAAAAATTAGTTTATGGCTGCATTTGTACAAATGTGAATAATTTCATTTTTCAATTAATATAATATATTAAAGCATTTTCTTCCACTAAAAAAATTAAATATATATATGAAATAAATAAATTCAGCTGTGCCCCTTAGTACTGGGCGCAGGTTAACTCTCTGGGTCCCAGTTTCCTCATTTGTGTAATGGGAAGAGCTAATATGTACCCATTTTGTACAACCATTTGCATCAAGTGTAGGGATTAAACAAGAGCGTGACTGTGAAGGGCTTATCAAGGCATAAAACATAGTAAAGGCTTTAAAAACACTTGGGCTGATTTGTTCGGTTGCTTCTCTTTGGGGTTTCATGACGTTTGGCTCTAAATTTTGAGATCTGCCTCCTGGGCACTTTACGCTTAGGTCCGCACATCCGTGTCCTGCCTTATATGTCGGCCTTACTTTGCTCTCCTCGGCTAGCCTTCTTCTAGCCTCCTTCATCCACTCAGTTCTGTGTTCACCTACTCACTGATTGGGTGCCTGTGCACCAGACACGAAGCTGTGTGCTGAGGAGGCAGAGATGAGAGACTGTCCCTGTCCCAGGGACACTTGGCTCAGTCGGGGTGGGGGACAGAAAAGATTGCAATAAAATGCCTGCAGTGGCAGAGGTACCCACAAGGGTCTCGGGGGTACAGAGGGTGCCCACTGCAGACTCAGCTGGGCTTCCAAGGATGAATAGGAGATTACCCGGCAAAGAAGGAGCGCATGGCGACTGGGTGGCATGGTTAGGTACTGACATGCAGGGGTAGCTGCATGAGTCCAGGTCTGCAAGCTGGGAAGACCTGAGCCTGTTCAGAGAAACAGCTGAGTTCATAGCAGGGTTTGAAGAAGAGAGAAAGCTAGTGCGAAGAGCAAGGCCCAGATGGCGAGGGTTTAATCAAGAGCACACCCTTGAATAAAATGTGAGTTCAAATTTGCACCTTCGCAAGTTCATTCCTGTAGAAAGGGGGATGGCAGGTTGGAAAGCAGTTGCTCCAAATCTAGAAAAAGAGAGAGACAGAGAGGTCACAGAGGGAGCTCAGGCGGCTGCCTAGAGCTTCACTGTATCTTCATGTGCCTGGTGCTCAAACCTCAGGTTTTATTAGGGCATCTGTAGGAAATCAGGCCCTGAAGGGTTGGCTCACCACAAAGAAATCCTCCTGACATAAACACAGGACTACATACTATTATACAGGGGTGATTAAACATTAAGTGGCCAGCACCGGTGCCGAATCTCCAAAGACAGCCCTTTTATCTCTGGGGTAGCTAGATGCAGGCTGCAAGGTGAGCCTAGAACCTGGCACTGGAGTGCATGGAAACGCTTCCAGGGAAGTTCAGGCCTAAGGAACTCTGTCCTTGTCAAGAGTGAGGGCCACCTCCAGGGAGCGGAGTGTTCCGGATTGCCTCAAAATGGTGGCTAACACCACCCACAATTCTGGCTTCTCACTCCATTCTCACCTGACCCTTCTACAGACATGCTTTCTTTGGCCAGAGTACAGTTTGAGCATGAGGCCAGGTTTATTTGCAATATAGACTCAGAAGTGCCCATTATCCTGTCCTTCTGAAGAGCCACCCTTCGCCCTTGGGTGTTGCTGATTGTCACTGGATTCCCAGTGGCTTTGACTGCTCAGGGAGGAACTATCTTGGAGATGGTTCAACATCTCTATTACTTTATAATGTGTTTCTTAACTCCACTCACAGATACAGTCTTAACTCACTGTGCTCAGGCATCATATTTTACATCCCCAGGTAACAATCAGCAGGTTAAACCAGAAAGGAGGTGATTAGGGCTTGAGCCAAGGATGGAGAATGGAGCAGGAATGGAGGATGGCACATCGATGAGGACTTAACAGTGTTTTGATTTGGGAGCTGAAGGACAGGGAGCTGCTGAAGGTCAAGTCACATCAGACCCAGGCAGGAAGGTAGCCCCCCCAGGTGGGAGCCAGGCCTCCCTGCCTTGGGTCTCCTTGAGGAGGTAGCGCTCTTGCTGGGCTCCTTCTTCCAGCGGACACCTTCTGCCGCAGATACTGTGCTAGGATGGACCCAAAGCAGAACAGAAAGGCGCCTGACCAAATGGAGTTTATATTCTGGTGGTAAATGAGAGGTAGTAACTAATAAACCAATAAATAATAATTGATAATAACTACAACCTGAGGTAAGTGTTTTTCAAGAAAGCTACCAAGGCAGAGAAGGGCAGAGTGAAGGGAGTTTCGGCCTTGGTTGAAGCGATGGGGACGGGGGAGCCTCCATGCCAAGAGGAGGGAAGGAGCAGTCCGGGCAGAGGAGTCAGCGCGTGTGAAGGCCTCGGGTCGGGAGAGAGGCCGCTGTGGGCCAGAAGGACCAGAGGCCAGCAGAGCGGGAGCCCCGGGCACAGTGGGAGGATTGACAAGCACACAGGGCCTTGAAGGCCACTGTCAGAGGTCTGGGTGTTAGTCTGAGAAACACCTCTAGGTGTTTGATTTAATCAGAGCAACATGATCTGATTCTAAGGGTTTATTTAGGAAGATCATTCTGGAAGCTGGATGCAGAAAGGATTAGAGGGAAGAACAGATGCCCCAGAGTCTAGGACAGCATAACAGCAACACGCCGGAAATGCAGGGAAGTAGCCGGGTTTGAGATACGCTGTGGGGGGTCGAATCACCCAGATTTGGTGTTGGATTAGATGTGGGGTGAGGGGAAGTGAGATGTCAAGGCTTCCAGGTTTCTGGGTTTCTGGGTGGATGTTGGTGGTCTGTGACAAGGGGAAGATGGGGGTGGAATTTAAGGGCAAAAATCTAAAATCCCCCTGGGGGTCATGTTAAGTTTGAGATGTCTGAGAAGCAGCCAGTAGAGAAGATGGCAAGGAGAGAGCAGTAGGCAGGCCTGGAGAGGAAAGTCCCGGGCTGGAGAGGTGAATGGGGCTGTCCTCAGCACGTGTTTAAACCCACGAACACAGATCGGATCGTTTAGGGATTCAAAAATCAGGTCCCAAGGCCCAATCCTGAGAAATTCGGTGTCACGGAAGCCACGGGAGGAAAGTGCGTCTCCCGCGACGAAGGTGCTGGCGGCCCGGGCGGCATAGCCGCCACCGTCGCGGTGGGGAGGCGGGACCCGTCGGGTTTGGGAGACAGATCGCGACTTCTGTTCATTTATGGCTGGAAGTGAGTCATGCCGAGCGTCCATCCCAAACCTTACAGTCACACGAGCGGGAAGGGCTTCCGGGGACTGTGCACCTGTTCCCCACCCCACCCCGCTCCTCCCACGCCTGCAGCCCTGGCTGCTGGGACGCCAGAGTCTTTAACTGCAAATAAGACACTAACTGTACCCTGGGTCCAAATGAAACCCCTTTTTAAAATGCAGCTGTCCTTCACATTTTTTAAAAACCGTGATGGTCAAATCTCTCACATGCCACCTCCAGCTCTTTATTTTAACAACCACGACCCCAGTGAGGACCAGTAGGAAGGGAGAAGATCCCCGTCACAGCACCAGTGACCCAGACTTTTCAAATTAACTGTGGAGGAAAAGCTGAAAGAAAAAGAAATCCAGCCCCGTGACGGCGGTGCTCGTGTAACCGCCTGGGCCGCCAGAGGAAGCGGGGCGGGAACAGGGCCGGAGGCACCACCGGGCTCACCCAGCCCGCAGGGGGCCGCAGATGCGCCCAGACAGATGACAGTGCCGGCCGGGCCACCACCGAGGAAGACGCGCTCCGCACCGGCCCTTGCTGATGCCCCCCGGGCAGCTGGTGTGACTGTCCCCACCAGCCCAGGACGGAGGGGGCAGCGCCATCTTCACGCCGTGGGCAAGGAGGCCGGATCTCAGAGCCGCCCGCGTACCTGCCCGCGCCGGCGAGCGGAGGGGCTGGCTTTGAGAACAACCCCCACCTGCCTCCTCTCTGCCCTGACTCTCCAGTAGGGAATATTCCTCTGCCCCAAGTCATCCTAGGTGGCCAGGGGCCACCCCTATAGTCGAGAAATGGCTGAAATGACTCAACTATCAAACCCTAAACCTGACCAGCCCCTTACCCTGCAGATCCGTCCGTTCTCGTGAGAAGCTCAGTCGATGCTCTTACCCACACTTTTGTCTTGCCCCTTTTGCTTCCTGGCTGACCCGGGTGCTTCCCCACGTGGCCTGCCTGGTGTGGCTGCCCCCCCCCCCTTTGGGAGCTGTGGGTAACGAAGGATCTTTTCCATGTCAGTCATCTCCTGATCTTTGGCCTCACCATATCTGAATAAAACCAAAATCCCAGGTGCACTTTAAAGCACCCTTCCGTGGGGCTTCTGGGAGATGATCCCCAGGCCTGGCACAGGGGAAGGCTGACAACTGCTCACCGGTGGTCCCACCATCCATCCGCACCCGTGTTCATTAAGCGAGTATTGACCAAGTGTCTGCCACATGCCAGGCCTTGGGTAGACACAGCAAGGAACAGACGCTGTCCTGGGGAGGAGCCACGCCAGCAGTGAGAAGGGGCTGCAGTGGGGAGGCCGAGGAGCCCAGGGCTGGGCTGCGCCCCAGCTGTGTGTGAGGGCAGTGCTCCCTCTGGGTGAAGTGGGGTCATCTCGCGCTGTCCCACGTCCCTGAACTGGAACACCTGGTCTTCCGTCTGCTCCCGCCCGGCCCCGGGGCCCCTGGGGAGCAGCAGCCTCAGTGCCCTCCCCTCCCAGTTCTTCCTCGTCCCACTCCTGTCTCTGGCCTCTCACGCTGGAAGTCCCCCTCCTAGCCAGTAAAGATCTGGAAACTCACTGGCTTTACGTTCCCCCAGGGCCTCTGAGCCCAGCAGAGTCCGCGGGAAGTGAGGGAAGACCCTGCAGTGACCTTGTGTCCCTTGGTGTGTGTGACCCTCCTAGGTGGGCGAGGCAGTCTTGGAAAACGCCCGGCTCATGCTGCGGACAGAGGCTATCCAGGCGGGCGCAGAAGACTTTAAAGAAAGGTAACGTCTACAGCAAAGTGACAGTCCCTCTGCGTCCCCAGCCTCCTGGGCAACCAGGAATGCCGCTCTGGCCTCTGCAGCACTTGCCCCCAGCCACGTGGGGAGCCAAGGGGAACAGGAGAGGCCCCAGAGAATCCTGAGCCAAGATGGCCCGGCTCAGACCTTCCTGTAGACACAAACGAGGCCCCAGGGCTCAGAGATTTTTGCCAGTGTCACTCAGAACAGGGGCTCTCAAAATCTAGTGTGCTTTAGAATCACCTGGATGTCTTGTCGGAAACAGACTGCTGTGGCCACCCACCCACTCCAAGAGCTTTTGATTCAGTAAGTCTGGGTGGGGCCCAAATTTTATGTTTCTAACAAATTCCTGATGATACTAATCCTCCTGGTCGTGGGGCTACACTCCGAGAGCTACTGGTTTACAACAGTGCTTCTCAGTCATGGCTGCATATCAGAATTACCTGGGCATTTAAAAAGGCCAGCGCGAGCCCGGTGACTCATTAAACCAGAGTCCCGGTGTGTGGGGCGCAGTACTCAGTATTTAGAAAGCTCACCAGCCTGGAGAACAACCTCTTTGAAGTCTAATAGAGTGTTTCCTAAAATATGGTGTGTATATGGCTGATGAAGATTATTTTAAGTGGTATAAGGATGAATATTTTATTTTTAATAGTTATGTATTTATTTTTATAGTCATTTTTTATTTATGATCCATGAAACTTTTTTTCCACTATATGTATGGTAGCAATTTAAATTTTATTTAATATAAAAGCTTTTAAGATTTATTGACTTAAGATGTCCTTTTTAAGTAGATAAATTTAAGGAACAGTGTAAAGTAAATAATGATACAGGAGATATGCATCTCACAAAATCATGAAGGCAAGTGAGTTTTGTGCAACACTGATCAAATGGAGAATCAAAATGAAGATGACCCTTTTATGAAGGAGCAGCGATTTTGAGAATATTCTGTGGGAAAGGCGTCCTGCATGTTGGGCAATTTGGACAGGTGATGAGATTGTTATTCAAGGGAACACTCCTAAATTGCTACAAAGAGGAAAGGCATATAGTGGGGAGTCTTTGGGGAAGACCATGATTCAATGTCCTTCTTATCTGAGGGTAAGAAGAATGTTGTGATGAAACGGAGAATCACCACCATCTATCTCTTCAGACACTGAGTCATGTCCTTTCTTTAAAACCAAGCTTCTCCACCTGCTCAAAGGATCTCCATTAGTAGCCTTTCTGGAATCAGGGAGACAGTCAACCAGCCAGGCTTGCTGTCTTGACGAGGACCGTGATAGCCAAGGTCACAGGAGCACAAAGCCACCATCCAGCCACTGGCAGCTTACTGAGCAATTAAAGCTACATGCCAGTAGACAAAACCGTTTGTCCTAAATTCAAGGTTGAACTGAAGTATGAAATTAAAAGAGGACTTGACTACAATTTCTTTTACTCATTCATTTGCTACATATTCATTCATAAATATATGCCTTCATCCAGCCATTCAAGTAAGGAGAATGTAAACTCCTGAAAGCAGGGGCTGGGTCTGCTGTGCTCCCCATTGTATCAGCAGCACCTGTAACAGTACCTGCCAAGCACAAGGCAGATGCTCAACAAATATTTGTTGAAACAATGAATGAACGAATGAGACAAACAAATGTTTGAATATCTGCTGGGCCTCCCAGCAAGTGCTGGAAATGAAGTGGATCGGACCTCGGGGAGCTCATACTCAGGAGGCAAAGTCAGAGGAGTGCTCAGACAAGAGCATTTCAGTGAGGTTGTGCCGTGTCTGACATGAGCAGAGGTGAGGCTGGGACATGAAGTCCTGCCTGGGAAGGTTGGCCGAGCACTGATGCCTGATTTGGGACCTAACTAGGAGCTGACCGGGCAAATAAAGGAGGGAGACCTTTCCAAGCAACGGGGAGAGTGTGTGAAAAGCAAGAGGACATGAGAAAGCGTGGTGAGTTAATTGAATTCCAAGGAGCTCATTGTAACGGGCATATGTGGGGAATGAGGAGGGACAACCCATGCAGCTGGCAAACCAGGAAGGACCCAATCCTGGAGGACCACGTCAGCCACACCAAAAAGCTTGAAGATCTAAAAGCAGAGGAGAACCACAGAGGGGTTTAGCAGTGGCTCACTGACCAGTTAGCGTTAAAGGGCGCTTTGCATTGGTGGAGAGGAGAGGCAGCGCGAATGAGCAGCAGGGGGAGAGAAGCACCGCTGGAGGGCCAGGGTCTGTACTGGGAGCAGTGGTTGGAAAATAAGGTGAGATCAGATTATCGAGGAGCCAGAGGACGACATTTAAAGCTTCCGAGAAGAAGGACTCCCGTGTGGTGGAGGATGGTGCCCTGGGGGCAATACTGCTTCAGGAAGACAGCTGGAGTATTGTTATAGCTCAGAGCCTGCTTGAGATGGCAGCAGTGGGCAGACTTGTGGGATGGGTTGAAGAAATAATTGGCAAGATTTGACAGTTACCTACATATACAGCCTGAAAAGAGAAGGCAGAGGTAAGTTGTAGATTTTCAGCATGGATAATTTAGAAAACTTATAGTTCTTTTGACTGAACTACAGAATTGGGGAGGGAAAGCTTGTCTAAACTTCAGGAATAGGTAATGAGTTTGGTTTTGAGCAAGCTGGGTTGAGTTGATGGTGGAGCAACCAAAGCAGAAACTGTGGGATGCCCCTGAAGGTGAGCCGGAGTGACCCGCAGGTCTGGACGAGAGGGTTACGGTGCTGCGAGCAAATGCCTAATGAAGACTGAAGGATGGAGGTGGGAGGGAGAGGGCCCAGCAGTAGAGCTGAATGCTGACAGACACCTTGAGAGGCAGCCCAGAGCTATTTCAGACCCTCAGAAGACTGCCAGAGAGCAATCTGATGCTGAGTGGAGCACCTCCTGGAAGGGTCCAGACTCCTTAGAAACGTGAGCAAAGCAGGACTCCAGAGGCACGAGGGGCCTTTTCCAGCTGTGACCAACAGGGCCCATGCTGGTGATATGGTCAGGTTTTCACTTAAAATGGAAGGACAGGACTTGTTTCCAAAGGGACTAGATGTTAGTAAGAACACAATTCTTCACAAAGAATACATTTCGGTGGAAATTTTAATCCTACATATAGAGTACAAAAACATGCTTCAGCAATGATCCCCTGAGTGCAGATTCAAAGTCCAATGCTGAGGGCCCTCCCTGGCCATGGGCCACAGGGCTGTGACCTTGGTTCCCTCCCTCTTTTTAACTGCTGCAAGGTGCATGAAAGCATGTGTGGCAAGATGGCCAAAGATACAAAGTCAGAAGGGCTGTGAAGAGTAGAATGACAGAATCAGGACTCAGAATGATCACAGCACATTGGAACAATGGGACAATGAAACTGAAGGAGATTAAACATGAACCCCTGCTTTGGGGTTCAAATACCAGCTGCAGCCAGAGAGGACAGGGAAACTGGGCTGAAAGCAGCTCTTGTGAAAAGTGCTCAGGGATTCCAGTTGACAGGAGACCTAATGTGAGTCGGCGGTACATACAGCTGGTCAAGATCAAATGAAGGAACATACAAACTAACAGAAACTCAGGAAGCACGTCTCAGGCCCATGATGAGCAGAATGGAAGGATTTAAACAAAGGAGCAGGCGGTCCCGCGGGGCTCTGCACTGACCAGACGCATCTGGAGTTTCGCATTCCGCTCTCTGTATCACGTTTCAAGAAGGATGCAAACAATTAGAGCATTTCTAATCTTTCACAAATATATCTGAAGCCTGGGGCTGGTGCAACGCATACAGAGATGGAAAGGTCAATGTCTGCCCCCTCGATGATGAGGGATATGGAAGCAAATTTATATGAAGAATGGAAGGAGGAACTGGCCATGTTTAACCTGAGGAACAAAAGGCCTGGGGAGGCGTAGGAGGGGAATGGGAGAGTGATACAAGGTACAGCTTCTGAATATTTGCAGGACTGCCGGAAGGAAGGGATTAGACTGGCTTGTGAGTATTCCAGAGGGTGGAATGCAGACTCTTAGAGGAATGGAGATGAATGCTCTTAAAGGAAGAAATCTGTAATAATTAGAGCTGTCCAAAAATGGAATGGTGGCCTTGAGAGATGAGGAGTTCCCCATCACTGGAAGTATTCAAGCTGAGTTTACATGGTCACCTATCAAGAATGCCGTCAAGGGATTGTCACTGGATAGGAATTTGAATAGTTGCAGGCTAAAGTCCCTAAAATTCCAAGACCCTAAAATGCTTTCTGGAGTGGGAGATGTGAGATTTCTCCCTTCTATGGATCGATGAGGGTAACATAAAATTTAGCTGAGTGGTACAGTGGGTGCAAGGCCATGGAAGGAAAGAAATGACACTGGGAGAAACTGGCAAAGATGTTGCATAGTTTTTGTTCTGTCTGTGAAGGAGTTAGGGAAGCCCAGCCAGCAAACATACTTTGGCAAGTCAAGGCCTGTAATTAGCCTCTGCTTGCAGCTTGAATAAGCCCCTGGTTGTTACTAAACAACAGCTAAAGCAGGAAGACCTCCAGCTTCCCCGAGCCTAGCTCTGCACAAGCCAGGTAGGACAGACATTGAATAGAACTACCAGTCTGCCGGGCAGCATCCAGATCACCCCAGAGAGAGCACCTGTCCCTAAGCCCTACTGCAAACAAGGGACAGGGCGCTGAGCAGCCACCCCCTCACCTCACCCCACCTACCAGCAGTCAGCACTTCCTCCCCAGTGCTCTCGGATTGCTCCCTGCATCCTCTTATTTACAAAGTGTGCAATCAACTGGGGAAATGTTACAGATCCACCCACTAGGTACTGTTGCAGTGGGGGCAACGCAGAGCAAACGCGGAGAGGACCTACCTCCAAATAGTGTCAGCACTCGTTCTGGATGACAGGATGTGAGGTGGTTGAGTTTTCAGCCATCTTTCTGCTTTTCCAGAATATGACACGCATATATCTGACAGACACTCCAGTCGTTTTATTCTTTACTTTTTCTGTCCATGCCTGGGTCCCAAGCTTAAAAAGCAGGAACAAAGAAACAAACCTACGCTGCACCAAGGTGAGGCATTGAAACTCCCTGGCCCTGGCTTACACACGGCCCTCTGTATTGGTCATTTTGTATTCTTTTTCTTAAAGGCAGTCTCCCAAATCCTATAAACTCTGGGCCCACATCCGCCGGTATTTGCCCCTGCAATTTAAAAGCCATCTTCTTTACAGTGGTAGTCTTTGCGCTCATGGCCCGGGCACCTGCTATGGCTTGGGGTCCCGTCCTAGAGTACGATATTTACCATGGGCATCATTATGAGAAATCTCAGGGTGATTCGCCTTTGGCTTTAAATTCGACATCTGCAAAATGGCTTCGGGGACTGCAGTGCTTGAAGGAGGATGAAGAGGAGGCCCGGTGGGAGCAGCCAGAGCCAGTCCTCAGGGCGGCCAGAGCCCTCACCCAGCCAGAGCTCTGTGGATCAACTGTATTCAGTGATTAACTACACTGTCCTATTGTCTGTATTCTTGATGCTGTGGCGTCTGGGCCCTCACTGGCAGGGACAGGCTGCCTGCCTCTCACAGTGCTAGCTAATCTTAGATAGTAAACACTTGCCCTGAGTGTCTTTCATATGCAAACCAGCCAGTCCTGAGTCTAACCCCCACCTGCCTCCTCTCTCTGCCCTTACACTCCAGGAGGCATATTCCTCTGCCCCAAGTCATCCCAGGTGGCCAGGGGCCAGCCCTATATTCGAGAAATGGCTGAAATGACTCAACTATCCAACCCTAAACCTGACCAGCCCCTTACCCTGCAGATCCGTCCGTTCTCGTGAGAAGCTCAGTCGATGCTCTTACCCACACTTTTGTCTTGCTCCTTTTGCTTCCTGGCTGACCCGGGTGCTTCCCCACGTGGCCTGCCTGGTGTGGCTGCCCCCCACCCTTTGGGAGCTGTGGGTAATGAAGGATCTTTTCCATGTCAGTCATCTCCTGATCTTTGGCCTCACCATATCTGAATAAAACCAAAATCCCAGGTGCACTTTAAAGCATCCTTCCGTGGGGCTTCTGGGAGATGATCCCCAGGCCTGGCACAGGGGAAGGCTGACAACTGCTCACCGGTGGTCCCACCATCCATCCGCACCCGTGTTCATTAAGCGAGTATTGACCAAGTGTCTGCCACATGCCAGGCCTTGGGTAGACACAGCAAGGAACAGGCGCTGTCCTGGGGAGGAGCCACACCAGCAGTGAGAAGGGGCTGCAGTGGGGAGGCCNAATGTTTGTGAAAGGATCCTCAGATGAAAAGGATGACGAATTGGAACAAGGGTGGTGCTGGGTCTGAACTCCTGGAGGCCCTTTCCCTAGAGCTCTGTGCTTCCAGTGCCCCATGGGGCTAGCACCCCATTAATCAAGGTTATCAGAAGTGGCTGCAATTGCTTTCATTTTAATAAATCAGCATGTAACGATTGCATTAACAGTGCCCTCGAAGATGTTGCAACAGTGACTTTTAACATTTGTTGCCTATTACATAATTGCCTGTTAGTAACAATTATAATCTGATTAATTTTTCTTTTGGGTTCCCTGGCTCTGCTGATTAAGTTCCTTTATCTGCAGATATGAAAATGAGCAACCATTTCGGAAGGCAGCGGAAGAGGAAATAAACTCTCTGTATAAAGTCATCGATGAAGCAAATTTTACAAAAATGGATCTGCAGAGTCAAATAGAGAGCCTGAAAGAAGAGCTTGGCTTTCTGTCAAGGAGCTATGAAGAGGTAGGCAGGGCAGGGGTGATGGGGCTTCAGCTACAGGACCAGAGGCTCTCACCTGTCTGGCCAAGCTCTGCAGCGTCAGTGATGGCCACTCATCTGGGCCTCTCCAGGTCGTTTGTCCCGGGCAGCAGGGAAATGCCAGTGAAAAACCTTCAAATCCTCATAATGGGTCAGGCTACCCCAAGAGGCTCACACTCAGATGGATTTGGGCCCAGGCTGGTACTCCGGGGGGTGGCGGATCTGGGGAGTGGTGGGCCCTATGCTGAATTGCAGGAGGCCTCCCCTACCTGAGACACACTATTTTAGATCTTTTATTCCACACTGTATAGGACAAACAAAATAATCCTGAGAGCAGATCTAGGCTGCAGGTTACACTTGTTTATTAATGGAATTAGGTCAAATCATTGAGTGACAGTACTAAAGGGGACCTCCGATGGGGACACGGCCCTGTTTCCCCAGAACTGCACTGATTCTGAACCACTGAATCTAAACACACATCACTGTCCGACTGGAGCTCTAACATGCTTTCAGTCGGAAAAATCAAAGCCCACCTGTCCATGTTCATGTCTGTAAGTTCCTTCTTTTGCCCAACCTTAAGCTAACCAGGAACCAATAAGCCCATTTCCTCCTCTTCTTAGCTGAGTAGGTTGTCATCACTGTCCCACAGGAATCCTTTAGAGACTCCAAAGTTAACTTTAAATCACTTCCAGCATATTTCCAACTTTATGAAATTCTTAAGTTTCATCTTGCTACTGTTGCTTACTCCATGTTTTTATTTCATCATTTATTTATTTATTTTGCTGTTTACTTTGGGTGGACCTGGGCCAGGAAGACCAGTCTAACAAATGCATCCTTGGGGAGAGAGCGTATGGCACCTGTGCTGGACTGGGAAAAGGATCAGGGACTTTAGCAGCAGCAGAATTAAAAGAAAAAGTATCCCCCACAAAGCTGGGCTTCTGCTGGCCAGAATCCTGTGCCTCTTCTTTCTCCTGTGGAACTCACCTGAGGTGTATACTGTCATTTTCAGGATGTGAAAGTGCTGTACAAACAGTTGGTAGGGTCTGAGCTGGAACAAATGGGTGTCCCCACTGGCACTGGTCTGGAAGACATCCTTGAGACGATCAGAATTCACTGGGAGAGAGATGTTGAAAAGAACCGGGCAGAGGCAGGAGCCTTGCTCCAAACCAAGGTAAGA